GAATATGAGTTTTAAAATACAACTTTTAAATTGAATTAATTTGTTTTTATAAATTAAATATAATTAGTATATTTGTACAAAAAATATTTTTCTTAAACTCCAATTCCAATGATATTGATAGGGTAATAAAAATCAGTTGTATTAATTATTGATTAAAATTTTACATCAAAATTTATTTATACTATTGATTTATTGTATGCTCATTTAATATAATAATAATATTATATGTTCATTTAAATGAAAATGTTGTAATTATAACTTAATATATTGATTTAAAGTTAAATTTGAAAATAGATAAATTATTATAATTTTTTGAAATAAACAGTTTAGTTGTATAGATGTCAATCATTTTATTTTTATTTTCTGCACATGAATTAGAAATATAATGTTATCTCTTGGTGAATAGGGTGTGAAGACTGCAATCAATATTATGAAAAAGATTGCCCTCATCATAGGATTCAACTTATATTTGATAAACCTGTTCTTAGTCGAGCATGGGCAAGCCTTCCCGCGACTTATTTATACGTTAACAAAATCTTTCTAAAAGAGAATGGAGAACCAAGTAAGATATTATTACTAAAAATATCTCTGAAATGATTATAATAGAAAAAACCTAGATAATTTTTACATTATAATAAAATTTAATATAGAGAGTTTATAATACACAGTTATTTTAAAATTTAGTAAATATATTTTCATTAATATTTAATGATTAAAAAGATTTTAATAATTTATTTATTTTGCATGCTTAATTATTCACAAAAATATAGTTGAAAAATTATGTTAATGTAATATATTATAAAAATATTTTATTAAAACAAAATAAACTTTATTCTTAAGAGAGTTATTGAGTAACTTTTGAATGTTGAAAGTAAATTTTAAATTACCTCCATTATGTAATTCAGAATTTTATGGATAAATTTTAAAGCCATATTCACCATCATTGCCATCAGATTAAGAATCAAATATCTTGAGATTGAACTTGTAATTTCTAATTTAAGAATTTCTTTATTTTTCATATCCCCAAATATAATTTCTAATACGGAATTACAAAATTTTCAAATTGACACATGAAATTGTTAGAAAATCTTTAAGTTTTGTTTGAATGCTTATTATATATCTATGCAAATTTTTATGCTCTAACTAAATTTTTAAGTTGTTAATAAAGATAACAGAGTTTACTGGTTTAAAAAAATTATTTGAACTTATAAAGTTAAAAAATGAAACAAATACTAATTCCAAGATGTTTTTGGACGTATTCAACCCATAATCAGGGAATAAGATCAAAACAAACAAAAATTTTTACAAAAAATAAGAAAAAACATAAACATTCTGGAATATTTTAAATCAAAAACAGATGAAATATCCATCTCTAGAATAGCCTCTATGAACATTTTAAAGAAAAATGTTTTTTTCCTTACATATTTAACAATATTTTTAAAAATTATTTAATTTCACAATCAACATATTTTCATTACAAAAATATTTTTAAACTCAAAACACCAAAAATATTACGTAATAAATTTTATTTGCTTCTCTAATGACTGCCATTCCTACATTTTTCTTTCCTCTTATTCAATAGCCATTTCCATATTGTTGGAAAACTTTCCAGATCCTTATTGTTGATAATGTCCTCTTCCAAGATTTTTTTTCTGGATTCAAGACTTTTGTGTGCCTCTTAAATTCTCTCCTTTAACTTCTATAATCTTAGCTTCATATCCTACCAAGATGTTCTGTTAGAGCAGGCCATGAAATATAAAAATATATTGGAAATTTAAAAAATATAAAAATGAAAAAATGAAAATAAAATTATAATGAAATAATATAAAAAATTAATGCCTTTTTAATTAAGTAATTCAAAAATCAAAATAAAAGACAAGAAAAAACAAAAACACTAAATACATATTTTAAATATTGTACAACAATGTAATCATTTTTAATACTATGAATCACTTTTCAAGTATTTGAATCCATTCAGGTTTTTTGATGATTGTATTTGTCTTAAAACAATGCAGAAAAATAAATCAGTACATGAGCTAACCTGTAATATCAGCATTAAATTACCAATACAAGTGAGTTAGATCATTATTCAGATTTATGAGTAAGTCTAGAATTAATGTGTAATGAGCACAATTTTACTTTAAATGTAAAATAACATATAAATCATGAGTTAAGTTAAGATGGTGAATATGGCCATTAATAGTATTTAAAAGATTTCTACATTAAACTAATGTTGTCAGTGATTTATTTGAATGAGAAAATTTGCATAAGTAATTGTGCAGACTGTCTGTTTATAATTTATTACTTACTTCATATTGTATATTTCTTTACAAACAATTATCTATAAAATTCAAAATTATCACATTTAAAAAGTTAATTATGATGTCTAAAATTATTTACTATTTTGTATAATCTTGCATTTCAAAATTGTTATCTTTTTAATATAAATAAGGTGTATAAAGTTTAAAACATATATATTTTAATGAAGAAATTTATTTTAAAACAATAAAGAAAAGTAAGTGATGATTTACATTTTTCTATCAGAAGGAAGTATATTTAAATTTTAAAGAAATAATTTTAGACATTATTGCTAATTTTTTTAAAAGTTTGTCTTATATTTTTCAGCAAACATTTAGAACGTATACAATTGTAACAGAAGCTATTGCTTTCAATAATTATTATGCATGAAGTCTCACTAGATAAATTATATATATATATACACATGTTTCAATCGATGATTTAGAATAAAACTTTTTAAAATTAAAATATAAATGTTAATTTTAAAATTTGATATCATTTATTATAATGATCAGTATGTAAAAAGTTGAATATAATAATATCGAAACTTTATTTGCTATTGTCTTCTTTTTCTATGAAGGAAGATGTATTCATGTGCTAATTTGAATAAAAATTATTTTTAGTATACGGTGTATTTGCTAAAAAGACAATCCCTAAAAGAACACAGTTTGGACCCATTGAAGGTGTTTTGGTGAAAAAAGAGGATCATTCAAAAGATAAATTTGTTTTATTGGTATGAATAATTTTATGGTATTGAGTTGAAACTGTAAATTCATTCGTTGAGCAATTTGTGACTAGTAAATATCTTTTAGTAAATTTTGCATTTAATAATATGTTATATTGAATATGAAGGATTTGAAATACACAATGAAAAGGATAATGCTGGAATATTATAATTCTTAATGGTGCATATCTTTTTTATAAAATCAAACTAAATTATTAAATCATACAGTTTTAAATTATTCATTATTAAAAATATTAGATGGGCACTTAGAACATTTGTTATCTTCATAATGTCAGATTGTTGAGAATACCATTTCCAAGAAACTGGGTCTCTAGAAATTATTAAGACATGCCAATGTAAACTGGCTTTATATATATATTCTTTTATTCGTTCTTTTCAGTTGCTGCAGTACAGATTTTTATGTATATATAAAAATCTCAAATATTGGATTGACTTTTTATGTAAATATAAGTGGTTTTATCATGTTACTTATTGAAAAATTTACAATTCAATGAAATAGCAAAGGATTTTGTAAACTGTGTATGTTTATAAATTTTAAAATATTTTAATATAATATGAACCTAACTAAAGCAGTTTATTTACTATTGAAATGCATGAGTTCATATATATTACTGTTGTTTCTTCTTTTAAGTTCGATATTTTCATAATTGCCTACAATATCAATGATCATATATGAGTAAATTCTTCATAAATATATACTCAAACTTTAATGTTATGAGATTAAACTTTCTCGAAGTTTGAAAGATTCTCTTATAAGATAATCTTACATTTTTTTTTTTTTTTTAACATTTGTCAAGTGTTGATTTATTATGAATATTTGTATGAATTAGGGAAGCTGTATTCTAGTATTGTTACTCTCTAATCCTAAACTATTAGATTCAGTATTTTATCCATCAATATCAACATTCAAGGTTAACAATGACAAAATTACTACTTTTTGTTGTTGCACATGCCTTTTGGATTGATGTAACATTTCAATCCCTTTTCAGTGTCAAGAAAGCAATATGTTTCTACATTAAATACAGATGGATAATGATTATATATATATATATCTCAGAATACTTTTTTACTTATGCTTACTTCCTATTATACAAACTTGATATGCCCAGTCTTCAAAAAATATACTTGTAAATAGATTAAAATTACTAAAGTGAATTTGTAATATTTAAACTATGTAGCAAACATGACAACAACATTATTACATCATTCATTATCACATATAGGATGGTATATTTGGTAATCAATATCTGTCTGCAGTTAATGTAGAAATGTATTGCTTTCTTGGCAGTGAAGAGGGATCAAAATTGTTACATTGGTCTAAAATGCATGTGCAACAACAAAAAGTAGTTAATAAAATTGTTTTGTCATCAATAACCTGGAATGTTGATATTGCTGGATGAAATACTTAACCTAATAGTGTAGGATTGGAAAGTAACAACAATTATTACGAACATATTGAATATATGCTCACTATTTCTTGCATACAGTAATTTTAATAATAATGTAACTTAATTCTTATTAAAAGATATCCAGTTAGCTAAGTGTTGGGTGATATTAAGAAAATTATTGTAAATGTCAAATGTGTATGTTCCTTGAAATGAGATATTGAGATTTGCTAAAAATATAAATAAATAGTTAAGAAAACAATCTTTCATTTTTCAGAATTGGCCTCGTAAATTAATTATAAAATAGTTTCCATTATTTTTATTTATTTTATCTTTCTGACATCAATATTTAAAAATCACAATATATTTCAGCATTATCTACACATTTTATTGTGTAGTTTAAATATTTCTGTTGATGACATATTGTGATTAAATTGAAAGATGCATTATATATATTTTTTGTTTTTTTTCTTCTGATAGTTTCATTTCCTCATTGAATGAATTTGCTGTTTGATCCTATCCTATTTAAATAAGATCAAATAGATTAAGATAACTTTATAATTTCCTTATAGACAGAACAGCAGGATCATACTGTAGCATATTTAGATACAACAGATGAATCTTTAAGTAACTGGATGCGATTCGTTCGCCCAGCCGATCATTATCGTGAACAAAATTTGGTGCTAGTACAACAAGGTCAATCTCTTTATTTTAATACTACAAAGGCCATTAATCCTAAAACTGAACTTCGGGTATGGTATTCTGGAACATATGCAGAAAAGTGGGGTTTAAGAGTTTTAGAACCAAATGATGAGGAAAGAAAAGGTATATTTAATTTTTTTTTGTATAATCTTTACTTTTTTATAATTTTTTTTCATGATAAGTTTTTAATATAAATTATTCTATTTTATTCCTAAATTCAGTTATTAGATCAGAAAATTTCCTTATCATAAAAGTAACAAGCTATCTTATCTTATAATTTAATTCTTTTCTATATTTTTGAAATTATTTAAATTAGTTTTTGATGATTGTCCCTGTTATAAGATATATTACACTTTAAATTTAAAATAATAAAATCTGAATTTTAAATTGTTAGAATTTTCTTTTCATATATATATATATGATATCTTATTTTAAAATTAATTAACAAAAGTTACAGAAGTATCTGTTAAGAATTTACATTGAAGAAATTAATATTTGATACATGTATTGTATCTATATGCTAAAATATATGAAAAACACATTAAAATTTCTTTATTTTGGTGTTATGAAAACATTATGCTCATAAATTTATTGGATGACTGCATGATAAGAAATGGGCTTTGTTTGGAAACTGAATGTATCAGAGTTATCACTTAATTGTTCAGAACTTAACTCCCAGTATTCTGAACACTTAGGTGATTGTTCCATTATTTAAATCGTTTATAATAAGAAATATACAATTCATGGTTTTATTTGTTGAGATACATCATACCATGTAATGCATTTCAATTTCCAATAAAATTATTATAATTGTTCACATATTGTTATTGTTTTCGGACTAACTTATATTGATAATAACAACTTGGGTAAGTAAATATGATCTACAATTAGTGGAAATTCTTGTTTTTTAAACTCTAATGTTAAAAGGTCATATTAAAACAGTTAAAAAATGTGTAACTTGAAGGTGTATTAATTAATAATATTGTATTCATGCAGCATTGTCTGCTTGCTATTGCCTTTAACAACAGATACAGTAGCATATAACTGAAATAAAAAAATGCCAGCAGTTTAAACTACTGTACCATAAATAACAATTCAAACATTTAACATGCATCTTGTAACCATTAAAGCACTAGTTTAGATTGATGATAGCTGATGACAATTGTGCATTATTGTCCATATGTTAAGACTAATAGTGAAAAAAGACAGCTCCAAAATGCTTATTTACCAGAAGATAATGATAGCAGAGTTCTGAGTACAAAAATTTTTTAATAGGTTTTTCACATTCATGCTGTGGGACTTACTAACTCTGATACCATTAAACAGTTTAACAAATATCTGTGATTACAATGAGTCTACTATATTTAATTCAGTTTAAAGGATATTTTGTTGTATTTTTTTCTGTTCAAAATATTGCAATGTTTTTTAAACAAGATACATTTGATTATAACAATAACTTACTGTATTTACTTGAATATAAGATGCCATTGAATCTAAAACATGCCTTACTTTCTACATGCTTATTCACTTCTATTTTTGACTGAGTTAATATTTACATGATTTAATTAATTTTATTTGAAGATGACACTCTTAATAAATATAAATAAATAAATAAATATTTCTAAAATTTAACAAACCATTTGACTTATTCATAAAATTGTTAATTTCATCATAATTCAAATGCTTGCTGTTGAAAATTCTGTTTAGTGTCAAATGTTACATTTTGCTTCAATTTTCTTAAGAAATATAAAAGTAAATAAAAGATTTAAATATTTAAAAGTCGTATTTTTAATTTCTTTTGAGTGTTACATAATGTTTTAAATCTTTAATTATAAAATGATTTTTATTTATTATTATGAAATTTTTTTTAGCTTTAGAAGAAGAAGAAAAAGCATGGCCTTGTTTTGAATGTAATAAAAGATTTTCAAATTCTGAAGAATTACAGAAACACCTTAATTTCCACGACGAAGAAAATGGAACAATCGAGGAAGGTCCAGGATCTCGAACTCGTGGTCGAACTAAAGGACGAACTAGAGCTCAAAAGAAAACAAGAGCACGATCCAAAGTGAAAGATCCTGATGATGTAAATATTCCCTTTTTCTCTAACAAAATGTTCTTAATAATTGTTCTGTATATAATGTCATGAAAAATATTCTGTAATAATTGCAGAACATTTTTTATGAAGAATACTGGAAGTATTGATAACAGATACTAATTAGACATGATGAAATGTGCACAACATTATTTTCAATTTTTTTTAAAATAGTCTTTTGTCTTTAGGAGGCACTAATACCCCAACAAAGAAATTAAAAATAACTAGTTAAAATAAAAAGAAAAGCCTGATAATACAATATGTAAAATAAACAGAGCATAAAAATTACAATATGTAAAAAAAATACAGAATATAAAAATTGCAATGCAAGAATGTACTAAATATAAAAAAGGCAAAAAATAACAAAAATAAATTTCATTATACACATAGAAGTCATTTTAAATGCAATGAAGCATTAAAAATCTGGATGTCATAAATCCAGATTTGGCTGTCAAAAAAGGGACAGTAACGTCAACAGTAACTTCATTGTTAACATTTTCTTGACCTTGCATTGTTGATGTTTTAACATTCATTTAAAATTTGTAATTTTTTATTTTTGAAATTATGATTAGTGTATTTTTTTGTTTAAATAAGTGATTCTGTAAATTATATCTGGAATCTTTGTAAATATTCTTACATTTCTTGTGAAATACTGACTTGAACTTAAATTTGACATTGAATTAATGTATTAGGAGTTTATAGTACTTAAAATGCTAATTTACATGTACTGCATACAGTAGAGCATCAATTATCCAAAACAGTTCGGGACTGGGGTTGTTCAGATAACTGATCATATATGAAATAATATATTAACCTATCCCATGCTGAAATTTTTCTCTGTTGCATGTCGCTTNTGTCTTGGACTACTCCAATATTATTTTTGTTGGTGTGCATGTTTTAGCTGGCTGCACTGGCGCAACCATATTGTATTGTTATAAATTATATTTTGGAAGTTGAACTAGTAACAAAAACGTTCTGATTCAGCATGACACATGTCCAAACACACATGTCCTCAGAAAAACACCACACATGATGGGGGAAAAAAATTCTCATTTAAATACTGACATGTCCTTAAGTACCCTCACATGGTTGCACCAGTGCTGCCAGCTAAAACAAGCACACCAATAAAAATATTTGAGTAGCCCAGGACATTGCAAAATATTGCAGCGCCATAGCACTATTGGAAATTTGAATTTGCCAACTGGAATGCTTTCAGTTGATCGGTATTCAGATAATTGATGCTCTACTGTATTTGAAAATCTGAATGGGATATGGTCCAATTAGTCTGGATTTTTGATGCTTTACTATGTACAGAAAAGAAATACATAAAATATACAAACAAGAAGTAAATTTTTTGATAATCATATCAAGTTTTTTTTATGTTATGGAAGACTTAAACAATTAACTATTTAACTAGAAAAATATTAAAATAAAAATTTAATCAATTTTCTCATTTTAACAAACTTTTCTGATGAAAATGTCTTTTTTTAATTTAAAAATGTCCCCATTCAATGAAGTATAACTTTTAAATAGTGAATTCACTTTGTTTTGTTAGCAAAATGGATAAATTTATTTTTCATATTTTCAAATGTTAGAATTGAATAAAATGCTGACTTACTTTTGCAACTAATACTTGCATATACAATATTATATTGTGCTCATAAGAAGACCAAAACATCTGTATCTGAGAATAGTTTCAAATAATGGCCTTTTTGTTACATTCAGAATTATATGAAATGGTTTCTATCAGAAGAAAATGTTATGGACAAAATTTTTGTTTGTTATTTAAATACAATTAGCATCATCATAAGTGCCATTATTATTTCAATTATAAGATTTTTTTCTCAATTTCAGTAAAAAATACTATACCTTCTGTTTGATTCATGTAAAATGCATGTGTAGCACTTTACTGTTTTATTTTTACTACTAGTCAATTTCCTGTTTGATAAATTTTCTATTTAAAATTTATTAAAATTTATATAATAAATTGTCACATTTCATGGAAAGTATTCATTATACAATATTCTTTTTAAGTTTGATTGTGTTTGTTTGAAAATTTAAACTTTATTATTATTATCATATTTCTTATCAATATGCTATAAGAAATAAGTGGCTCAATCATATATTGAAATCTGTCTTAAATGTTAATATTTATTTATGTAGAATTTGATTTATATCATATTTAAGTTGAACACTGATGTCTTGAAGTCTGGTATTCTTTTAGTGAAGTGTTGATTTTAAATAAATTAATTGGATATAGTAATATTTAATTGGGTTTTTCATTTTAATTTAAATTTAGAAAGCAATGGAGGTATCATTTAGAGAAAAAAATATGAATCTATTTTGATTTTGTTTATCCATATGTTAAATAAAATTAAAACAGGTTTAAATATAGGAATGTTTTGAGATCAAGTCCAGCATCAGCTCTTAAATGTATAGACAGTTATAGTTAAAAAGCATGTGATAGTGATTTATGAAGTTGCAAAACATTTTCTGATTATTATTATTTTTTATTCTTATATTTGACTCTGTTTTGATTTTTTACAGTAGAAATATTTTCTAAAGACTTTACAATTGTTTATTATTACTGCTATATGAAATTTATTGAGGATAATTCAAAAAATTAATGAAATAAATATTTTAAAGCATAAATTATTAATATATCTTATATATATTTAAAAATTAATCATTATTAAAATAATGATGCTTTTTATACTAAAATTATATCTGATTTTTTTCAGATTTCCACTAAACAAGATGAATTTCAATGTGAAATATGCCATAAGGTGTTTCCTAGAAATTACAGCCTTCAAAGACATTTGATAATGCATTCGGGAGAAAAGAAGTATAAATGTCCCATCTGTGATATGAAATTCAGTCATGTATATAATAGAAACAGGTTTGTTAATAACTTAAAAATAACTAAAAAGTATTTTTAAGTAAATTCAATTCCCATTTGTTTCATTCACACTGTATAGCACTATTTATTCTAATGCAATTATTTGGTACAATTTATCTCAAAATTATAACAGATTTATAAGATAATCTACCTCCACCTACAGTTTCATTAATTAGAAAAAAACTAAAATAAAATTGATTTTTATTTTATTTGCTTTCTGCTTAATTAACTAACTTTCATTTTCTTTCTATCAAATAAAAGCAAGTTTGATAATATGTTATCTTTGCTTCTCTTGTGTTGCTTTATTTACATCTCTCATTTTGTACATTTTATTTAATTAATTGAATTAACTTAATTTATACAAAATTATTGGTTGATAGGTAAATTGGTTTTGTAGCACTTTAATGTTGTTTGGAAACATGAGTAGAATGTTGTTTTATGCCAATGAAAGATACAAATTTTAAGCATAATAAATACAAACTTTTCAATTATTTGTTCATGAGATTTTAATTTGTGAAAGGTTTTCAGGTGTGAAGTATGCTTGTAAATTAGTTTCATTGTATCTCTTTAAAATGTTTAGTTTGCAAAATTATAACCCCTGGAGAATAACTCAAGGATCATGTTAAGCTGACAATAAAATATATTTACTGGTCAATGTATTTTATAAATTGCAAAATATTATCTACTTGTTCCTCTTTTTAACTTAAAATTTATAAGAATTAATTTATAAAATAAATTATTTTTGACAGACATGTTCGACGTCATAGACAACGTGGTGAAACCGAACCTGTTATCAAACCTTTCAAATCACTTTTCAGAAGAAAACAGGGAGCTGAATGGATTTGTACTCATTGTGATCTGACTTTTGATAATTCAAGCTTACTGAATCTTCATACACTCACTCATGCAGCAGAAGATGTAGGTCTGAGTGATCCTTCAATGGGCGATACATATAATGAACACACCATTATAATGGATGGATTTCAAGCTGTTGGGAATGAAGAGAAGTGCAAATGCTTAGAAGAGACTTTTCTGAAATGTCCAGAATGTACACAGGTAAATTTTTGAGAAAATTAAACAAACTAATATTTTATTTGTTTTTTTGTTTAAATTGAAATATCTAATACAACAGAGATGCCATCTGAGACTGACTATAAAGTTAGTCTCAGATGGCATTAGATGGATTATAGACTATTTTTAAAATTTGAAATCATTTTGTAATTATTATATTGCAGGAATTTAGTTGCAAGAAAGAACTAATAGAACATGCTAGTTCTCATGGGAAAATTCTGACAAAGCATCGCACTTTTCGTGGTATGATCAATCCCTTGAAACCATTTAAATGCAACCTTTGTTATAAGTCATTTGCTTCTGACGAACGTTTAATCCGTCACTACTTGGTTCATGGAAGTGAAGATTCAAAACCTCTACAGTGTGATACTTGTTACAAACGATTCTTAAATAATTCTGCACTTGCTTGCCATATTAAAATCCACAGGTAATTAATTTTAAAATAAACATTTTGTTCATCTAAATTGACATTTTTTATATAAATAAAAATTTTAATGTCTTTCTAATATGTATAACTTTTAATATTTATAAATGATAGAGCCATATTTTTTGTCATTTGAATATAAAGGCAAACATTTTATTTTTATTTCAGTTTCAGGATAAATTTTTTCTATAGATATAGCATTGATGAATTGCTACAACCCTTTTCTGCAAATACCTCAAGATATATGTTGTTTGTTATAAAATGAATTTATACAGGTAGCCCTCGGTTTATGCCAGCTCAATTTATGCCGATTCACAATAACGTTGCTGTGCAATTTGCCATTTCACAGTGTAATTCTCCGATTTTTCCTATACTAGATGGATTTTCATTTCAATGTCGATGTATTTACCGAGCCACGACATTGTATATTCATTAAAACAAAGATTTTTATTGAATATATTTATTTTTTCTGTTTAATATTATTGGGTATGTATACTTATGCATTAAATTAATATTAAAATACTAAACGTTTAGGTACCCACGAGTCAAGTTATTAAACTTAATAGTCCAATAAATGGCATCCAAATCCATAGCGCCAATGAATGTATCCCGTATCAGTTCGTTCAGGAAAACACCTTACAACACAGTAGCACTTCCAGCGATCACAAACTATTGTTAGTGAGACAAATCTACTTCTCATTGGCCAGATGATACTTTTTTATTAGCCAGACAATATCTACTTCTTGTCAGTCAGACAATATCTATCTCTCTTAGCCACCTTCAATTTTCCTGCTAAAACTGACCTTATATATGCGCTATGGCAACTGGTGGCCGACCAATCAGTGTCTCCACCCATCTGTAGTTCTACGTAGGGTTAACGTATCCTTTCAACTATCCCCACGTTTCTTTATGCAGCGAGAGTGTAGTGAAATGATGTCACGAGCAATGTTAGCCAATTAGAAACCAGTTTCAGTTTGTTCACTGTAAAGCATTTCTCGAGCGCTGCATAAAGAAACGATGTGTATGGAAAATCTGATGGATGAACTTTGTGAGTTAGATAATGATGGGGAGCGAAGTGCAAATGTAAAAAGGAGCATCATATTCGACCATATTCCGAAATTCTCAATGAAAGAAAACAAAAATGTAAACAATTAAAGATGGATCCTTTTTTCCGAAAAATGTAAGAAATCCGAAACTAAAATTTTTTAATAAAAACATTTCACTTTATTTTATGATATAAATTTAATTTTTAAAATGTATTTTATCTATTTTGTATTATATTGTATTAATAAACAAAATTATTTGCTTATTTTTCACTTATGTAGAACCTAACCCTATACCTCACTGTAAATATGGGTTCATTTTACGTCAATTCGATTTGCGCCAGCTTTTGTAGGAACGGAACTGCGGCATAAACCAAGGGCTACCTGTATTTCCAATTTGATTTGTCATATTTTTTTATTCTCAAACATTTTACATAAAATGAATAACTTGATTTAAGTTTTTTTTTTTGTTTTTTTAAATGTTCAACCGTATGAATATGTAATACCAGAAAATGAATTTTGTATTGCAGTTGGAAATAAATCATACATCACTAAAATATATTAAAACTATCCAAATAATTTCAGACTTTTTTTTTTATACATTATTTGGAAAACATTTGAAAAAAATGATGATTATGAATGCATACAAATACCCTAATATATAAGATTTTATATAATTGATTAATATGTATCAAGACATTTTTTTATAAGACATAATTTTATCATTTAACCTAACTTTATGTTGAATTTAACTTGGTTACTATATTCATTATTTCAAAAAAGTTTGGTTTTTATTTTGTTTTAACCAAATTTTTCTAATTCATTCAATGTTTCAATGCAGAATTCAGTTTTGTTGTCTTCTGATAAATTTATTCCTAAATTATTTTGTTATAAGGCTAAAAATACTAAAATCATATTATTGTGTGTAGTAAAATGGTTTTGTAAATATTACTCCTGTTATTTTTTTATTTTTTTTTTGATCTTTTAAAAAAAGTAATACTTATTANAATGACTATTACTTTATATAATGAGAAATAACTAAAATGCATGTAACCTTGAGATTAAGATTTATACAACTGATCCTAAAGGGAAAAACTGTTTTAGATAAATGTACAATTGCTATTTATCCTCAATTCTAAAAAATTTTTCATATTATAATCAATATGTACATATATATAGGGTGCTCAAAGATTGTTAACATAATTACTTCCTCTACCATTCTTCTTAATTGAAGTAATTTTGACCTTATATTCAGAGTGATAATTTATGTTAGTTTACAAAATACAGTGAGTTAAAGTTAACCAAAAATAGGTTGCTTTCACAGCTCTAGTATTCTGCTAAGTACCCATCTCTATTTTGCAAAGCTTTTTTATTTTCCATAATTGTATGTCTAACAATAACAAATCTGAATCTGAAGACCAGCTGGACAATTTTAGGCCTGTCTTTTCCAATCTATATATATTAATGCATTTTATTAGTTTTGTTGTTATAAAAAAGTTATTTATATAAAAGTACAGAAATGACATTCAGTCATATATTGATTTAAAAATAAATTCTTTAGTGTTATGTAAATCTTCAAAATTATAGTTCAGAGGTTCCCAAAGTGTGCATCAAGGTGCCACAAAATATATAAAATTTTTATATATATATGTTACTGTAAATGCTCGAACTGTGGTAAAAGTCCGAAATGTTCTGTGATCATCCGTAATTTCGAACTTTTACCAGCATTTACTCGGTATATCTTAGGTTTTACCTCAGAGACATGGTAAATGCTGAAAAAATAGTTCCCGCTTTCTGCACCGCACCGCGTCACCGCCTTCGCTCGCCACATTTCATCGTTTGACACGTTAGAAAGCGCACATTAATTCTAATCTTGTTTGAGATTTCTCTGTCTAAAAGTTATTTATGAATCAAGATGAGTGTGAAATGGAGATTTTATGAAATAATGGACGAGCTCATTGCAAGCAAGAAAGATAATAACTTTTACTTAATAGGGACAAATATGCAACGTGTTTGGAGGAAGTAAAAGCTACAAAGAACATGAAAAAGAAACAAGCTGTTCATTACAGGTGTATAAGGCGTTACGAGATTTTGACTATAGGCGTCGAAGAAAAACTAATTGCACCTATGAAGGAGGAGGATGGAGAAATAAGGTATTATATTTGTTACGAGGACTTATTCAATATTCTCGAAGAAACACATGTTGCTGTTGGTCACGGTGGAAGGACACAGATGCTTAAGGAATGTAACCACAAGTATAAAAATGTAACAGTTGAGGCTACTATGACATATTTGAAGCTATGTCAATCTTGCCAAAAGAAACAGAAGGCTTTGAAAAAGGGCATTGTTATCAGACCTCTACTTCACAGTGAAATGAACTCATGCTGTCAGGTTGATCTAATAGATCTACAAACTACCCAGATAGAAATTATAAATTTATTTTAGTTTACCAAGACCATCTTACCAAATCTGTGATCCTTCGTGCGCTTGAAACTAAACGCGCTGTAGAAGTTGCATACCATCTTTTGGATATTTTCACCACTTTTGGAGCGCCGAGCATCCTTCATTCCAATAATGGTCGAGAATTCTCTAACCAAGTTATTGAGAGTTTATGCTCCATGTGGCCGGATGTAAAAATCGTACATGGAAAGGCAAGACATAGCCAAAGTCAAGGATCAGTGGAGACTGCTAATCAAGACATAGAAAATATGTTGAGTACGTGGATGGAAACCAATCAGTTATCAAAGTGGTCAGAGGGTTTAAGATTCATTCAGGCAATGAAAAATAGAGCATATCACGAGGGAATCAAATGTTCCCCCTACGAAGCAATGTTTGGTTGTCCAATGAAAATGGGCCTTGCAACTTCAGCAATCCCTAGTGATATGATTAGAGTTATAAGATCTGAAGAAGATTTAGAGAAGTTGTTGCATT